AAGAAATTCATAAAGGAGCCTGGAATGATCTGTTACCATCACCAAAACCAAGGTAGCAAATCTGAAACTTCAGCAGGGCCACTTATTTCCCAAACCTTGCTCATAAATTCTCAGAAAGGTGAACCTAAAGACATGTTTTTCTGCTTTCAGAGGTGAAATGTATCACGCATGTCTAGGGATATGCTACAAGGTAGCCTTCAATACCACCCATGTTAGAAGGCAAGGGCTTAGGGCACACATTAATGGCTGTGGTCCCCCAAAGTATACAGTGTATCCACTCATCTACCCAGTCTTCTAACCAACACTGGTGAAGATGATGATTGCTGTTTAGTACATCGGCAGGAGAGTGGTCCTCTATGAGCTCAAATACAGGAGACAGTACCTACATCCTTACCCCAATAAATCAATTCTTCCCAATGCCTCTAGAGTCAACTCAACAAACCTGCAGAGTGTCTACCACATGTCAGGCACTGAAAATTCGAGGATAAACAAGGCAAATCCTACCCCCAAAGGAATTTACACATCTACTGTGGGAGGCCTGTGGGATGCGGGCTGAGTGGCTGGCAGATGGAACCTGTGGGACCACATCACCGGGCATATAACCCAGTGTATGGCTGAGGAAGTGGCAGTACCAGAGTCGACAGTGGTGGTGGGGACAGTACTGCCTACTTGGATTTATAAGGTAGAAAGGAGTGAAGGAGAAGTGAAGAGCATTTTAAGGCAGGAGGTACATTCTGAAGGAGCCAGAGAAACCTATTGAAATTCCAGGAACCCATAGTTCAGAGAGTAGCCCAGAGAGTCCTTGGGGTGTGGCTGTGAAGCAAGCAGGGGCCAGATCATGCATTACTGGTAAACCACCAGAAAGTTTACCTTGACCCAGAGGGTAACTGGGAGTCATTGAAAGTTTTTAAACAAGCAATGACTAACCCGTGACCCGTTGCCATCGAGTCGATTCCGACTCATAGCGACCCTATAAGACAGAGTAGAACTGCCCCACAGTTTCCAAGGGACAGCTGGTGGATTCAAACTGCTGACCTTTTGGTTAGCAGCCAACCTTGCTTTTAAGTCCAGTCTTGAACAAGAGTCGGCCACAAACTGAATACTAGTGATTCTCTAAACTCTTTCCCACCCCCAGGAAAAAAAAAAAAAAAAAAGGAGAACACTGTAAAAGACTATCACAACCTCCACTATTTTTTACCTACAAATGTGAGAAACTCTGAACACGGAAGAAATTTGAGAATAGCCTCTTTCAGAAGACTTGTGTACAGTAAAACCCAACTGTTAGGTCATACTTTCCCCAAAGTTGTGTCTAAAGTTGGGTGTTCCCATAAGAATCTAAGAAACTTTTTTTTAAACAGAAAAAAAAAAAAAAGACACACCACGCCTCTTAACAAGGGCAACGTCAATCTGATAGCTTCAGGGTGTCTGCCAAAATGAAGTGTTGAAAATGGAAAATAGTGTATTAGACTTGCAGGGTAAATGATCCAAAATGCACACCATTAACTATATGGCGGCTTTTATTGCTTACTGAAACCATTATAGTATTGATGCTTAAATAGCCAGGTTTTCTAATCATGCCATACCAACATGTTTTTCTACTATACCTTCAAAACATCTTTATATTTCTGTATTTCCCTAAATATCTATGATGAAAAGTTAATCCCATAGATAAAGACATTTAAAAAATTTATTATAGACCTTTATTTCCAAACCAAATCTACACTGAAGATCTGAGCCTGTCCTGAAAAGGCACTCACCCTAGAGAACCAGCCCCCACTGAGAACTTTGAAGCCATCCAATTATTGCCCACAACTTCAATTCCTCATCTGCTCAGAGACACCACTTCTTGCCATTTCTCACTACAATGAATCAGATGATCCACAATCACAGTTGCACCCACAGTACAAGCCAGACAGATCTGGCCTATTATCTAAAAGCTATTCTGACAGGTATAAGGGGTCAGGGGAGCAGAGTGGGAGAGAAGGGGGAATCTTACTCAAAAAGGTGAATGAGTCTTTTTTGGATTTATTTCCCCCACTCCAAAGAAAGTATGATCTATAATCTGCAGCCCTGCTCCACTGCTGATTTACTGGCTGAAGTTGGATAATCACTCAAAACATTCCATTCTACATCTAAGCCCCCCTAAATAAAATGTAAGTTATAACTCCCAGATGCACTAGGCACTTGTAGATACAGATGCAGATTCTTCCCCATAGATGATGTTTACCTGTATCCCACAGATGCTGTGAGAACACAGGTCCATGAAACCAGTCGTTTAATAAATGGGTAGCTTGATCACAACAAGCGCTCATATACCAAAAGAGATGGGTGAGACCACTATACTAGAGCTTCTATTAGCTTTTTGACTTGGCTAAATAAAAGAGAGCCCCCTTCTTCTTCTCCAGGGTGTAGCTGATCAGCAATGTGCCTCCCTGAACGTGTTCAGGGAAAAGGAAAGACACCCATAATCACCGTTAGTGCTCAAGAACATGAAAAGTTAATATCATAACTGGAGGAACTGAGCGATAAGAGCCAGAAAGGCAAGTAATAGGATTATGGTACAGTCTTCACTTCAAATTAACTAAAACAGTTTAAAAAAATCTAACATGGCCTTCACTTAATTAAATATCTAGGCATTGTCACCAACTTCCTAGGCAGCTACTAGCAAAGGCAATATTTAAGTCAGAGTTGTCAGGGATTCTGCATTTAACCTTGACATAACCCACCACTCAGTGTTGTTCCATGGACTCCTTACATCCACAGCCCCACTTCATGGAGTCACAGGCATTTCTCCTTCTCAATTACATACCTGAGAGGTCAAACCGACCCACTGCAATCTGAATCCTAGGTCATTAAAAAAAAACCTCAAAATCCTGAAGTAATCTCTTCTCTACAGGTGCCATACAGCTCCTTGCTAACACCTGCCAAGTAATAGGGGTGAACCCAAGTACTTTTGTCTCCCTGAATGTATTAATCAGAGATCAGAAAAGAACTGAGAGGTTTCTGATACTTGTAGGCTGTCACCTAAAACAATTTTCAACTTTACTCAGTAAGGCCACAGAACATTTCACAAAGTGAAATGAGGGTAAGCACTAAGAAATAAAGCTACCACCTTATCCAACACCTCAAGTCAAATATTCCGAAGGCCTCTGATACACTAGGAATGAACATATTTGTCCAGGTAAAGCCAACACGTTTGTGTACAATTTACAGACCTACTTATAATATGGCCGAAGTGTCAAACAGATAACCCTTTCATAGTCTCTCCACCCACCCCCCATCTCTCTCTCCCAAACAAACAAAAAGAGCCTGAATTGCTCACTGTATGCAAGAGGCTAGAGATCCAGTTTCATGTAAGTTTTACTACTTTCAGTGGTTTAAATTCTCCAAGAGACCAACCCTCTCATTTACTAACTCAAACCTTAAATAAACTGCCTTCACCAACTTCCCTCTCTTCTCAAACCCCCACTCAGCAGAAACATCTCTCTCAGCCAAGAAAGCCTGCATAGGAGGCTTGGAAGCTGTCTCTGCAAATTCCTCCCCCTTCCTACCATAAGGGCACTTCAAGAACTTGATAGCCAGGAGATGCATGAATATTGCTCTAATTCTATCCACCAGGACTGGATTTGAGCACAGAAAGTGTCTTCCTACAATCTATTTCTAACTAAGCTCCCAATCACACTGAAACTTTGGTGGGAACCTGCTTTCAAAACAAATTAAGGAGGCCATCCAGTTCCAGGGAATGAGCCTGTGTTAGGGGAAATATACAATCCTCCACTGAACTCTTTTTCCTGGCACAGGGTCAGCCTCAACTTACCCCATTTCATTTCCAGGGTGTGACCTTTGATCCATACTCAAATTCACCCCTTCTCCATCTGAAGCTTCCCTCTGATCAGCTATTGTGCAGCAGCTATGGCAACTGATCCCGCTGATCTGACATTTTCTCTGAAACTGTTTTGACCGGAATAGAGTTATCAGCATGGGGATTCTGCATGTTAATGGTGTGGCTAGCTGGCAGGAATGGTAGGTGAGAGCACACAATGTACTTTTTCCAGTTATGTTTCGCCTCATCAGCCTATAATGAGTGGCCTTTTCAAACGCCTACTACACCAGGAGTGAGACCTACAGGCCTAATCTTACCCTCTTCTGGGAAGCTCCCAGGGGCCAGGTGCAAACAGAATAGATGGCCTCTTCTCTTGTTAAGTATCTAGACTCGGAGGCAAGATACCCCTAGACACTCCACCACCAACGAAGCAAAGACACGTACATCTTGTTCAGCTAGAGACAGTCGCCACTCTTCAATCCACCTTCAGCCACAGCCCTATCCAGGCCAGTTTAAGATGCTGTACTCTCACTGCTCTATACTACCCCCCACCCACCCACCCGAAGGAACAAGCTTCCAAACAAGGTGGGTGCACCAGCTCCGGTACCCGCCCTTCCCTCTCCATCCTGGCCAGAAAACTCCACTTCCCGGATTCCCGGCCCCACTCTCCCGCCCCCTCCCCGGGCGATCCAGCTAGCGCCGTCTAGATGCCAGCTGAGTGCCCTGCTCAGCTGCACACCCCCTGCACCCCAAAAGCCAGACCCCTGGAACAGGGCCTAACTTCCTCCCTCTCCCCTACCGTAGGTTTGCCCAGATTCTGGACGCACACCCTCAGGCGTGCTAAAACTGAAGAAAGTCTCACCCCGCCCCCCAGCCACGCCGCCGGCCTCCAGCCCTGCCCCGGAGCGACCCCTTCCCGAGAAGCAAAAAAGGGACCGTGGGTGGTAGCCCCAGCGGTCTTCCGCGGCTCTCGGCGACTGGCCTGGACCCCAAGGGCGGACACCCGCTCTTCCCGCCGCACCCCACCCCCCACCCGGGGGGCCAGCAGGTCTCGGCAGGGAGTGTGCTCGCTGCGGGTCTCCGGGAGCCTCGGGGCTGCCCGGGTCGGGGTGCAGTCCCTCCTGGGGGGGAGGGGGGAGGAGGTCGGCGCTGCGGCGCGCCCCCCGGGGGCACTCACGATGGTCACGCTGGCTTTGCGCAGGTCGCGGTTCTCCTCCTGCAGCGCCTTGCACTTGAGTTTGTAGGTCTCCAGCTCGATCTTCAACACCTTGTTCTCCTGCTGCAGCGAGGCCAGGCGGTTGGTGAGCTCCTCCAGGCGGAACGGCGAGATGACAATGCCCCCGGATTTCCCACCGCCGCTGCCGCCGCCGCCGCCGCCGCCCGAGGTCGACGAGCAGGACGACTGCATGGCGGCCGAGCTGCTGCTGTTGCCCCCCGCCCCGTCCGTGTCGCTCTCGCTGGCGCTGTCCGCCATGGCCGCGGCAGGCGGAGGAAGAGGAGCAGGGAGGCGGCAGCGGAGAAGGCTGGGCTGCGAATGAGTGGGCGCCGGGCGAGCACAGGGGAGCGCCGAGCGGGGCGCCTGGCACCAGGGCGCAGACTCGGAGCGGCAGCGAGAGAAAGAGAGGGAGCTTCCCGCTGCCAAGGGACCTCCTCTGCCAGAGAACAGAGACCCCGCCCGGGCTCGGGCAGTATTGCACTGGGGCTCGCTCCAGCCGGGCCTGGCGCGGTCGCTAGGCCGCCCTGCAAAGCTTGTCGAAAGCTCCAGGACCCGTCCGCCGCCGCGGCCGGTTGCCTGGCGTCCGCCGACGAGCTGAGAATGCGCGGGCACGGCCGGTGGGGGAAAGACCAGGCCAGCCTCCGCGCCACCAGCTGGGCGGCCGCACGTGGTTCGGGGGAGGGCCTCCGAGCCCCCTAACCTAAACCCCGCGGCAGCCCAGCCTCTTCCGGGCTCGCGCCTGCTAGGGAGAAAAAGAAACCTGATGCAACGCCCCACCAGCCTCGCAGGTGCTGGGGCCACGTGGAAAGGTCAGCCTGGCTCCAGCATCCAGCCCTGGCGGAGCGGTGGCCCCATCTTCCGCCGACCGTGTGTGCGCGTGTCTCTCTGTCTGTTTTACACATACTCTCAGCCCCTGCAGTTTTATCTTCCCAGTGAACAAAGTGCTTGACTGGGAAGCTTTGGATAGAGCTAAAAAAACAGAAAGTTTCCCTACAAGGGGCTTGGGGGGGGGGGGGAATAGCAACCACAGGTAAACCTCGTTAAGAAAGAATTTGCAGAAGAAACATAGCGCCCTATTTACTCCTAATAATCTTACAAACCACAGAGCGCTCAATTGTTTAAACAAGGTGTAACTTTTTTTCTTTTGTTTTTTTGCATCTTGCAAACAGTACCAGCACATGGCATGCAATAGGATTAAACCACTAACATTTATTTAATCAAAAAGGAAAGAAAAACACTTCTTGTGGAAGAATTGAAACACATCTTTAAGTGCCAATTTTCCAAAGTCAATGCATATTATGCTATACAAATATGTCTTGGTCAGGTGAGAAGACATTATTACCAGCCTTTACTATCGTCTTACCCAGTCCTAGAAAACTTCAATAGGTTAAGAAATGACACAGATTAATTACTTTAACACGGAACCTTGATGGTTCAATGGTTAAGAACTTGGCTGTTAACTGAAAGGTTGCCGGTTCGAACCCACCCAGCAGCTGTGCTTCCAACAACCCTATAGGGCAGTTCAACTGTCACATGGACTCATTGTGAAATTTCGGTTCTACCAAAGAAGCGGCTTTGAAACATAAGAAATCCAAAACTAAATATTTTTATTTCCCCTCCCCCCCCCAAAGAAACGCTGGCAGGAAATTGGCCCAGCGGGTGAGACGATTCTAAACACTTTACGCGGTTGACACAAAACAGCTTTCACTTATGTATAAAAATTGGAAAGTGAAACTGACCAGACAAGTTTATTATCCAAGCTTAGTCAACGGAAGAATAAACACATGGAAACAGTAAAGGGGAGGGAAGGCTGGAATGTAAAAAAAAAAAAAAAAAAAACCTATTGTTTTTGAACTTTTTGATTTTTAAAATATGAGGAAGAATAAAGAAACAACTTGAGTGATTTTTATTTCCCCTTCTCTATTATCTTTAAACCTAAATTTGATCTGATGATTAAACTATTATTCAATGGCTAACGGAAAGCGGTATCTCCGAGTAAACTCGAAAACTCCAAGTGTTCCAAATGACATCATCTTTTACTAAAATGGCTGCTTCTAGCAGACAGCTCAGAAATGCCAACAGAAATTAAACCTCAAATTTCTTCTAGGTATTTTTTAGTTCAGTGCTAGAAGACTTCGGAACTTAGTCACTGTTTGGTGTGGCCAAAAGCGGGGGGTGGGGAGGGGGAGGCGTGGCTTTGCTCTTCAGAAACATATCGCCAATCTAAATAATGGTTATAAGTGATCCAGTTTAATTTTCACTCGATTATTTTTTTCTCTCCAACTTTTCCTTTTAGGGATCTGGAACGTGAGATAAGCAGCTTGTTAAATTGGAAACGCTTCTGGAAAACTCAATTGCTGGGTGAAATGGAAGAGAGAAGCTAGCAGGGAGTAGTACCACAGGAGGAAACTTAGATTTAACAGCATTCTTTCCACTTTATTCAGCACCTGATAGAATCTTAAGAGTGGGTCTGGCTTCCATACTTCACAAGTTTCTATTGTTCCCTATCCCATAGGCTTCCCCTCTTAGAGATCATTGCAACAGCAACATTCCTTTCAGGCAGAGCAGGGGGCAAATTGGCCTCTCAGCTTTATCACCGAGTAACTGCCTCGCAAAGGCAGCTTGACTGCTTCGAGTCAGCAGAGGGGTGGAGTTTGAAGCGCCGGGCTTTCTTAAAAGGTCCGCGTCGCGGTAAGCTTAAGAATGTATTGGTCTTGAATAGGATTTAGAGGAAATCTGCATTTCGACATGGTAGTTGTAGGCAGTAATCGCGTTTAGGAGACTTCAGGGGAAAGCCATCTTCTAAGGCTTCCCTGCTGATACAGATGGGAATGAACTGGAGAATATTTTTTCACTGTGGTTTTTATTGTTATTGCAAAGCAGAAGCATATCTAATTTTCTACGTCTTGTAGAAGTGATTCTCCTTATAAACAGACTATTTATCACAACATTGGTTCAGTAATAGCATTACAATGGAAACACCAGTTACAAAACCAATAATATTCTAAAGCTCCTTCTTGGCTTTGAGGGGAAAGAATCAAAAGAATAAATGGTAGTGTGTGGTGCCTGGAGGAAGGAAAAGCAAATTTAGTTAACCACCTTTACTGGAGAAATAATGAAATTTAGCTTTGCCCTAAATTCAAGCTGCAAAAATGTTAGAAAAAAGGAAAAGAATCGTCTACTGTTCTGAAGTCTACTAGCAAGGCACAATATCAAAATCTTTCTTTGTCTGATGCCATTTTTGCAGCTGATTTACTCTATGGCCCTGGAGATTTAGTGTTTTCAACGGTGAAATAAAATAGTGTCATAAATCATAGAGAAATTTTGTTGTTTCATTTGTAATGGCTATAAATAAATAGTACATATCTAATAATATTGACGTCAGAGCAGCGTGCTTTTCTTCAAACTTCAAAAGAATTTGGTGATTGCAGTACCCTCTCATGGTTTTGAAAATAATTGGGGTGAGCTGAGTATAAGCTGAGTATAAGCACAGGAGAATGTGCTACCATCTCTTGAAAAGAGAGGTGATAGTCTTCATTTAAATGCACCTTTGATTTAGTGGCTGTATCTAGTCCCTAAGTCTAATACAGACTTTCTCAACTTCAGCACTATTGACACTTAAAAACCAAACCCATTGCCATCAAGTTGATTCCAACTCATAGCTGGTAAAACTGCCCCGTAAGGTTTCCAAGGCTGTAATCTTTACGGGAAGCAGACTGCCACATCTTTCTCCCGTGGGGCAGCTGTGGGTTCTACCCACCCACCTTCCAGTTACTGGCCAAAGTCTTCAACCACTGCGCCTCCAGGATTCCATGTTGACACTTACCAAAATCCAAACCAAACCCATTGCGGTCAAGTCGATTCCGACTTACAGCAACCCTATATATAGGACAGAGTAGACTGCCCCATAGGGTTTCCAAGGAGTGCCTGGTGGATCCGAACTGCCGAACTTTTGATTAGCAGCCGAACTCTTAACCGCTACGCCACCAGGGTTTCATTATGGCCGAATAATTCTTTGTCATTGTTTGCACTGAAGGATGTTTAGTAGCATCCTTATCCTCTACTTACTAGATGCCAGTAGCACTATCTCTGGTTGTGACAGCCAAAGATGTTTTCAGACACTGCCATATATCCCCTGGGGGCAAAACTGCTCCCATTTGAGAACCATGGATCCGGTAGAACAATTGCTTTTGCAGGGCAAAGTCAGGCCCCGCTCAAAGTGGTTCTTCTGGCAGCACATTGATTAAATACCACAGAGTCATCGAGAGAGTCTCCCTCTCAGTTCATATTCCTGGTTTTAACTAACCAGGAGATCTCGGACCCAAAGAATCAGGTCCACATCTCCTACTATTGCTGACTGCAGTCATCCTGTTTCTTTAATATGTGTTTTCAATATTTTGCACTTATTAATCTCAAACTAGGCTTGCTCACACAACGTCCCGCCTTGGCAAGAGATCATGACTTGTTTGTTTTCCCTCAATATTTGTTCACAGGAATCAAAACCATCTCTACAAACCACAGTCTAAAGAAATAAGTTATCACCTGAAGTAAACCAGATGAGAATCAACTAAGAATTTCAGTAAAAAATGAAGCATATGACTTATGCATCTGGAGATTTTGGCAGCCTACAAGATCTAAAACTTCTCTTGACACAGAACGTCTAAAAATGCTGACCAGGAAATGCTTTTTAAATCCCATTAAATACACAGCAGAGCTCACAAGAAAGTAAGAAAAATCCTAGGGTCCAAAAGCAAAGAGGAAAATTGGAAACAACCCAAATGTCCAGTGAGCTGGGTAAGTAAATTCTATTAACATGCATGCAATGGAATAATAAAAAGCAATAAGAATGAATGAACCGCAACTGCATGAAACAACACGAGTGAGCCTTGCAAACATAATGACGAGCAAAAGAAGGCAGACACAAAAGAGTGTATACTGTATGGTTTCATTTAGTTTCATAAAGTTCGAAAATAGACATAATTAATCTTTGACATTAGAAGTCAGGCTTATGATGCTCCTTAGAAGGGAGTAATGACTGGAAAGGGTGCTAGGAGATTTCTAGTCATTTTGTTTTGTTTCTTATTTTTCTTGATCTGGGGACTCATTTACACAGGTATGTTCGCTTGTGAAAAGGTGTGGAACTATATACTTAGGATTTGTGTACTTTTCTGTATGTATGTTATCCAAAAAAAACCAAACCCGTTGCCATTGAGTCTATTCTGGCTCATAACGACCCTAGAAGACGAGCGGAGCTGCCCCGTAGGGTTTCCAAGGCTGTAATCTTTACAGAAGCACACTGCCACATCCTTCTCCTGTAGAATGGCTGAACCGCCAACCTTTTGGTTAGCAGTCAAGCGCTTAACCACCGCGCCACCTGGGCTCATTTACACGCATTTAGAGGTTTCATATTTATCCTTTATACTACCTACAAGATCCAGAAATCCCTAAGATATTATCTTTTGAAAATTGGACTGAC